AGGAAGGAAGGGAATACAGCCTGGTTTCAAGCACACTTCCTGAACAAAGGCTGTAATGGTTCACCCTCTCCAAGAGGATCCACCTCATGTGGGGGCCAGGGAGGTGATAATCCAAGCATCTCTCACAGTTCCTCTAGTTTCTTGCCCCTTACTGACTCTAGGAGGGAGGGAATTCTACAGTGCCCCTGTTGTTCTTTTAACATAAGACCTAAGGTTTTAATCCCGGGGGACGCAACAAAGGTTGGGAAGAGAGAAAGAGAGAGGAAGAAAGAGAGGGACATCGAGTTGTGTTTTAACACATCTGTGAAGTTGAGTTTAATTTATTCTGTGTCCTCTTTCATCAAAAGTTACTAAGAGGGGCACCTGGGTGGCTCAGTCAGTTGAGCATCTGACTCTTGATTTTGGCTCAGGTCATGATCTCACTGTTCCTGAGTTCAAATCCCACATCGGGCTCTGTGCTGACGGTGCTGACAGAGACTGCTTGGGCTTCTCTCTCTCCCTCTCTCTCAGCCCCTACCCTGCTCTCTCTCTCTCTCTCTCTCTCTCTCAAAATAATAAATGAACATTTTTTTTTAAGTTACTAACCATCCAGTTCTTTCCACACCCAAAGAATTCAGATCTTTAAGCGAAAAGGATTGGCGTTGGTGATCATGATATTATGCGCTACAGATGGCTTGATAGAACAACGGATTTATGCATCCAGATTTGTACTGAGGATGTGCAGTTGCCTCTGGGCAGAAACAAGTCGTTTCTGTGTTCTTTCCTAGGCATTCATGGTGGCATTCATGGTGGCTCTTTCCTATGCATTCAGTGTGCGGAATGGGCAGAAAGGAAGTGAAGGGGCCGCGTTCATGAGATCCCCAATTATGAGTAAAGTATGCCTGAGAACTCACCAGCCTAGGTATATATCAACATGGATACCCGCCCCCCTCTCACACACCAAATGCCTGAATAGATCCTCACTCTGTGAACAAGATATCCTTATATAGGAACTTTGTTTCGATGGGGGCACCTGGGGGGCTCAGTCAACTGAGTGTGTGGCTCTTGGTTCCAGCTCAGGTCATGATCTTGGGGTTCCTGAGATCGAGCCCTCCCACGGGCTCTGTGCTAACTATGCAGAGCCTGCTTGGGGTTCTGTCTCTCCCTTTCTTTCTGCCCCTCCCCCACTCATACTCTCTTTTTCTCTCTAAATCAGTAAACTTTAAAAAACAAAAGAACCTTGTTTCAGTAAATAATAGTGATCCACATATCAATTGGTGAGAACTTATTGAAAATCTCTTGAGTGCCTTTCTCTATGGTCCATATTTTTTTTTAATGTAAAATATATATGAAACAGCCTTACATGAGAAATTATTCTAATTTCTTACACAAGAACAACCCAGCTCCTCCAGGATCGTGGACAAGCTACCTAACGACCCTGATCCTGGAATTCAACCATAATAATACCCACCACACAGGGTTGATGTAAGGATTAAATAAATAAGTTAATATCTCTAGAGTGCTTACCATATCCCTGGCACTGTTCCAAGCACAAGCGATTATCTTGGCCCTGTCCTCTCAGAGTATAAGGTGCCTGACAGCAGGCACAAAGGTAAAATAACAAGGACCAGTCGAGCCCAGATGGCCATCCCAAACTGCGGACTTATCTATCCCGAAAGGAGGAGGCTAAAGTCAGGTAGGGGTGAAGCACACATGGGTAAAGTGAGCCTGGAAGAAGAAGGAGGCCTGTCATTTTCCATATCAGAGCAACCGTGGTTGAATAAAGCCTCCTCTTAAAGAAGTTTGGCTGTGAAGCAAAGGAGAGCGTGGTTGCTAGAGAGAGGCTCACCTTCTGCTCAAAAACAACCTCCACCCTCCCCTATCTCACCTCCTGTCTCTCCTCTACCCAATGCACTCCTGACTGCACCCCCTACTCTCTCCCTGCAGGAACCTACGAGCCAAATACTCTACAGGATCAAATAAAGCAAGCACTGGAAAATGAAGTCAGGCTCCCCAAGGGCTCTGCACAGCTCCGGGCACTCGGGAGGTCCCCCGTGAGTGGTATATGACCTCCCCAAGTCTGACACTTCCATGTTGAACTCCATACTGTTACTTTGCAACTTCGTTCTTAGCTGAGTTTTACTCTGCTCTCTTTCCTCAGCTGTCTTCCCCGAAACACCCAAAGGTGGATGATGAATCCTATCATTTTGCCCCTAGATCATCCCATCTGTTCCTGGACATTCAACTACACAACGCTCTACTTTGCCAATGCTCAAATCTACATCACCAGCTCCACTGCTCTCCTGAGCTAGTTACTTATATCCCATTTGTCCACTGAGCGCTTAAATAGACATGGTGTCTGTCCAGTAGACATCCCAATCCGGGCAACACTAAAACCAATACTTTCTGTCCAAATGTAGTTGCCGCTGCAGTATCTATTGGTGGTTATTCACTCAGGGCGGAAGGCTAGGGTTCAATCTTTCCCCTCAAAGCTCATTCTTTTCACCTCTTCTGTCACCTCAGTGTTTTATAATCCACTCCTTCTCTATCCCCATCACTGACTTGGGTCAGTGTCTTCTGGGTCTTAATAGTCAAGCCTTTTGTCCATGTCTCTCTTCATGGTAAACATTAAGTACATGTCACCCCCTAGGTGATTAACCTCCTTGTCCCTATCTACCAGAGCAGCGAATACATGAGGAGACACTGCCGAATCGCTAAAATTAAGTAGATGCAGATTTAATTCCCACCTCTGCTATTTACTATTTATGTGTCCTTCAGCAATTTCCTGAAGCCTATAAGGAAGTAATTTCTACCTGGGCGTTTAGTTTCCTCATTAGTAAAATAATAGGATTGCCATTAATTCCATATCCTTCTGGCTTTAACTAAAAGAAGATTTCTCAGACGAGGAGAAATGAAATAACCTAAGGTTAGTAGATCGAGAGGCTTGGCTCCAGAAAATCAGTCTGACTAAATGTTGAAGGAAATCGTCCCAGGTCCCACTGCTGAGCCCTTCTCCTGTAGATTGGGTCGCTGACCTCATACTGACTTTGTGACATCCCAGAGTAAGGAAGTATAAGTCCACAGTTGCCTGGTTTCTTTAGATGCTCCTCCCTGCCTCATCTCAAGGCTCAGAAAACCATTTTCAGGTAAATAGCCAGAAACCCCACACTGGGATTCTAACATCTACCGTGACTGGATGCAGCCACCCTAGGATACGGCACTTCTGCCCATCCCTTAGGACTCCATCTTTCTTCCGGAGCACAGAAAAAAGTACCACCAAGGACAGCCTGGGGGAGGAAAAGGATAGCAACTGGCCAGTTCTTCAGTGTGTGGTCCTGAAGGAGTGTAGGAGGAATACCGGGAGCAGTTGGGGGATGTGTAGGAGGAGGGGAGGAAGGAGGTGGTGATGGAGGCATTTCGGAAGAGCCTTCATTCATTCTCAGGCACATGGAATGGCCTCAGTGAGAAGCAAGCCACTTGTAAGTATCCATCAAGCCCGCATTATGAATAAGACATTGACCAGCTCTCCCGGACTATAAGGATGAATTAGATAGAGGTCTCTCGATGTAGTTATCTGAATGTTTACCATTAGAAGTGCCTTAAGTGAGAAGGAAGTTCAGAGACTTACAAATCGCCCTGTAACTCAGGGGACCTGAGGCTTAGTTGACGCTCTGCTATAATCATCCTAAAAGTATTCTTTAACAAGAGGCCGGTATAATCATCTTGCGCTGGGTCCCACAAATAACGTAGCTTATTCTGGGGAGACACGACTTGCCCAGCACAAGCATCCCAGGAAGTTTCAAGTAAGTCAGGCCAAACCATAGCGAAAAGGGTAATAAAATCATAAGGGAAATTCTGGAAAATGTCGAGTTGGCTTCGTGTGCCCACCTGAAGAACCTTCTGAGACTCCCCTACCCTAACCAGGGAAGCTTATAACCTCAGTTTTGTCTTTGCTTCTTTACAGCATGAAGAAACTGCGGAGCACTCGTGCAGGACGGTGCTCTGGAGAGGATACAAATCTTTCTGCACGGTGACATAGTCCTTACTGCGGTGACATAGATCTCTGCGGTATTACCTTCCACATTTTCTCCCGGAACAAAAATGAGGCTGCCCAGCATTGAGAATCTCTTGATCAATAAAATTGGATCACTGCAACACTCAGAAGAATCTGGGTCTTTTTGGGGGGCGGGGAGAAGGGGGTTATTACTAAAAAACAAAGGCTTTGTTCTGAAGGGGGTTATTACTAAAAAACAAAGGCTTTGTTCTGAAGATTTCACTAGGCAGTCACCCCTGCTGTCCCAGCATAGGGAGTGTGAGGGGCAAAGTGTCACCAAATCTCTGTGCTTTGGACTACAGAATTCCAGGATTTGTGAAGGAATTGCTTTGTTCCCCTTCGTTAGTGTAAATAGAGCTGAATCTACTCTTCAAAATGTGAGAATTCTGCTCAAAAGAACAATGTGGGAGCCAAACAGGCAACGAGACTGTCGAGCAAGCCTTCTTGACAGTAAAATGGCTCCTCCAGCATCTCTCCTCCTCTTTACCCTCTCTGCTCACCACTAAGAGCTGGAAGTGGAGTTTCATCAGAGCAGGCCGAAGAGATATAATTGGAGTGCGATGTTCCCTCTTGACCTCACCTTGGTCAGTGGAGCTATAAGAGGCATTTATGCTAAAAATACTCTAGATACACGGGGAGTCTCCTCTGACCAATGGACCCTATTGGCATGTTGGTCACAATGCCTTGCAATCAATTACAAAGGCATTAACCCTTGAGGGTGGCAACAGTCTGTCACTCCGGTCCTTGGCCCCTTTTGGTGGCAACTCTTCTCCCTCTCACAGGGCAGGTGTCCTCAAACTCAGTGACATGATTGTACTTGGCAGGTGGGATGATTTCAAGAGGGAAAAGTTTCCTGGAATGTGGCTCTCGGAACATGAAGGGTGAAGAGAAAAGCAGAGAAAGGGCACAGGAAAAAAAAAAAAAAAAGAGTCCAGAAATCTCAATAGTAGTGCCTCAAGGCACAGTGGCAATAAGCCTAGACTGGAGATGGGGAGATCTGGGCTTGAGATCTAAGTTTGCCCATAATTCGTGACTTTGGCCAAGTTACCCTTCATCCCCAGACCTATTTATTATGAAACTGTTCTCTAGCAACCCTACCAACTCAAAGTTCCTTACTCCAGTTGGTAGATGGATAAAACACATTTGTTCCTAAAGACCACATGAAGCCAAATGATTGAATATGTGTGATATTTTCATACCATAACACCCTTCTTTCTATTCAGAGGACACAGCCCTGTTTTTGTCTTATGGCTGAAGGGAACTGTGCCCCCAGTGAATTCCAGCAAGGGACAGCATCTTCTTCACGATGTTATAGACAGGGTTATAGTCAGTGTGGTCAGGGGAGTAGTTAATGTGAAAACATTATTTGGAAGTTTCTGAAGCATAAAATTTGGATTTACTTTGTGTGATATTACGCCATGTGGCCTTATTGTTAATAGTTACGAGAGGAATTGACATATTCAAATAACTTTTCATTAAGTCCGAAAATAACAACAAAAATAAAACTTGGAGTTCTCTCCAAATGAGAATTTATATGTGTGCAGAAGACCTCCAAATTCACACCCTGCCTCTAAGAACTATTTCCCCCCGGTTCTCCATCTTCTTTCAGTATTAGATTCCTTCACTGTGATCTTAGAAGTACATGTAAGAAAGAAAAGGCAAATACAGTGGAGAGTGGAGACCAGATCTACTTTTAAGTCAAGCAGGGAAGGCAGTGTGGAGCAGTGGAAAGTCTTTGTCTTGGGAATCAGCAATCTTGGGTTCAGCCATGGCTCTTGCACCATGAGGGTGCAGCCCTTGGACAAGCTTTTTGGCTTCTAAAAGAAGGGGTCCAGGTGACTCCTGAGGAACCACCCAGGGCCACCGCTCTTGTGTCTCCCGTCTTTTAGCAGCCCAATCTCTCTCTTCTTGGAAAATAGAAATTGTTTATGGAGAAACAGTTTTGGGAAAGCAGTCAAAAAAGATGGGAAAGAAGCCTGGAGGATAAATGGGAAAGAATCCCAACACATCTTCAGGCAGAACCCAGACATCATCCAAACCGTGATGCTCCCTTGTTTCCCAGAACTGGATGGAAAGAGGCGAATGGAGTTGAGTTCCCTCCTTCTTTGGTCTTGGGCCCTGGTTTCTCTTTATTCCCTACCGGAGACCTGAGATAAGTCCTGAGCTCGGAGACCTCTGCCCCTGGTGAGACCCCTCTCTCGGCAGATTTCCCATCCCATGGCCTGCCTGAGCCCCCTTCGCCTGCCCAAACAGCAGCAGCTGCAAGAGCAAAGAAGACAGGGTGTGCATGTGAACAGGGTAGAAGGTCCCCACTTCCCTGCTGAGGTCAACATCTGGAGAGACTCAGGTTTTAGAGAGGGATTTGGACTGAGTCATCAACATTTGTAAGGACTGTCAGCAACTTTTCCATGTTTCTTCTTCATAAGCCCCAATTCCCAGCCTGCTGGGAAGATCTATCCCTGGGAAGGCATCTCTTGGGCTAGCCAGGAAAACTAATGGAGTAAGTTTGAGCGGGAGAGGTGAGATGGGGCCCCACTAGAGGCCTGACGTCTGAAACAGTGATGCCCAAAGCCTGCCCCTCCCTAACCTAAGAGAGGGGCCATTGGGAGTGCTAGCACCACTTTGGCCATCCTTCTAGGAGATAAAGACACTATTCTGTTTATCCACCTGTCTTCAGACAAGCTAACACTCAGCCCTAGAGAGAGGGAGCTGATAGCTCCTCTTCTGAAAGGACAAAGAATTCGGTTCTCTCTCCATGTCCCCTTAGCAGTCAGAAAGCATCCATTCCCTTTCATGAAGAGAAACAAAATTAAGACCCACCAGGGAAGCCAAAGTATGGAGGAAATAGTTTCATTGGGATCTCTGGGTTATTTGAAGGGATTCATGTAACCACTCTGTGCCTCAGTTTCTTCTTCAGAAGAAGAAGAAGAAGAAGAAGAAGAAGAAGAAGAAGAAGAAGAAGAAAAGAAAAGAAAAGAAAAAAGAAAAGGAAGAAAGAAAGAAAGAAAGAAAGAGAAAGGGAGAAAGAGTAAATTACAGATAAGGAGACACTCAGCAGACTGAATTAACAGTTCTCAAAAAAAAAAAGGTTGGCTTCAGGTCTACCAAGTGTCAAGAGTGAACTCACTGTGCTCTATCTAAATTGCCCTTGGCTTAAGCAACACTGGGGCTGAAATGGAAAGAGAAACAGAGACAGGCAGCAATGCCCAATGCTCAGCTGTGCTCTGTCCTCACTCCAGGAGGTCTGATCCAGAAGCCAACCCAAACACCCCCAGCCCCACACGGGACAGGCCTGTGAGCACCTCCCCCCACACTGGGCTTTCCGCCGGTGGAGTTCTCAGCATTGAGTTTCTGAAATCAGAACTTCTCCTTAACCCTATGCAAAGGGGACTCTGTTGGTTTCTTCATCAGTTCCCAAGCCTGGCTGCCTTATTCTCTGTGATCTCAGCTTCCCCTTGGCAGAGTAGGTCTTTGGGAATGGGATGGACTTGAAAGTTTGGGGGGGGGGGGGGTGTTGGGTACAGAAATACTATCCACTCTCCAGGACCATCCAGAAAATGTCATTCCAACTCAGGAGGCCAGTTCCCCTGCCAATGCTTTAGCCAGCAAGCAGCCTCAGGAGCAACAGGGCCTATGACGGAAACAATGTTTTTTTCACCCTTCCCTGTCTAGAAATGCTCCTATGTGGTATTCAGAGTCACTCTGCGTCTTACTGTCTGTCTTCATAATCCCCAAGTAGCAAGAATGAAAAAATGTTTATTGATCACCTACTGTGGACTGCGTCAGTGCCCATGAGAAATGCAGTAGAAATAAAAAAAGCAAAGCCTCTGACTACAAGAAGCCTACTGTAAAAGTCAGATAACATCAGGGATCACCTAACCCAACCAGCTTGTTTACAAAAAATAAAGCAGCTGAAGTCCAGAGAAGTGATATTTATGCAACAGTCAGGACCAGAACTGAGACACGCGGCCTTCTCTTGAGATCAGACTCACACACACCACATAGCAATGTGGGAAACAGAACAGGGTATCACACACCTAGCTTTGGTTGACTTTGAGAACAGTATTAAAGGGCCACGGGCTTCGGACAAATTACGAAAAACAATGAGAATTTGAAAAGTTGGGGAAGCCTTCCCTGGAGAGGTGGGACAAAATGGGGAGGAATCAGATAGTCAGAAAAACAGAAGGACTTTTAGTTTATTCCACAAATACTCCCCAAATGCTTATTGGGCTCCCGCTCTGTGGCAGGACTGTTCAAGGCCTTGGGAACAGATAGGAACGAACGCAATTTTTAAACTGCTTTCATGGAGCCTGCTTGTAAAAGGAACTAGGCTGAGGTATATAAGAAAGTCCCAAGATACAAAAAAGGAAGGCTGGGTCCTGTTTCCTGAAGCTCCTCCCCCTTTGAACAAATCAAAGACTCCAACAGAACCCGTCTGGAAACAGGATAATAGAAAGTGTCACTTATAATGGCTTTTCAAGGACTCTGGGTTTCAAAACATGACTTGTCATTTTGTCTCCATAGACATCAGAAATATAGAGAATGGAACTTGAACGAGTTCTCTTTTCTATTCACCCAACTTTTGCTAAGAACTTGCTGCATGCAGGGTGTTTGGTTCTTGAATGAGATGGTGGCAGGGGAAAGAGAAGGAAGGAGAGAGAGAGAAAATAATGATCAAGTTCCATCGAAATGTTTTTCCAAGGGACTGAATGAGTATAAGTTATGAAGGACAAAGAAGAAAAGGTTGGATGTTGAATCCGTTACTGGGGAAGCTGGGGACGGGGACATCCCCAGCTCACACTTCTACTTGGAGCTCCACACCCAGGTACCCAGCAATCATGCAGTATCTCTATTTGGAGATCTCAAAGGCACCTCAACTCTGAAAAAGTTTTAGACCAAAATGCATGATGATCACTGCCCCCATGCCTGGCCTTTAGCCCAGTGAGTGGCACCAGCATCCAGGTCGAAGTATTACACAGAAACAAAAGCCACACCTTCTACACCCTCTGCTCTCACCAACCAAAGCCAATCCATCCATCACCAAGTCTGTATCTCCTGTCTACATCTATACATCCTGATCAGCACCCTTTCTGGCCCAGGCCTGAGC